TCTAGTCTCCATCGTCATTGTTAACCTTTCTTATTATTTCAAAGGAAGTTCGATTTAACTCTTATTTCGTTTAATATATCGCGTATCATTCATCCTCCACGAAGGATGGACTACTACCATCTCCAGGATCGATCCAATCGTCTGTCGTCTCAGCTGGCAAAAGAGCATTATCTTCACCCGACCAGGTGAAGACTTCGACAAACAAAACTACGGTATAAGCGGCAGACAATCGTCGCACTTTCCTAGTCTCGGAGACTTTACAACCAATTAAGGCTCAATACAATCAATATCAGCGACTATTCAAACGATGAAACAATCGAAATGTAATTGCGTCGTCCCCTCTGAATAGCAATTCATTCTCCAAAGGCTACTTCCTCTCGATTCGTTCTTTTTCTTCTTCGTTTCTTTTTTTTTTTTTTTTTCCTTGGTCATCTTTTTTTGTGTAGAATCTTCTTATAAAATCTCATATCTCAACTCTTCAAATTTCCAACCATTCCCAATGCACCCTTTCACCATATCTGTCATTGGTGTAGCTGTGGTAGCTTTTTATCTTGAAAATATTTTACTGTTACGATTAACGAGAGTTCTTCTTGTCAAGTCCCCAGAGATCGAATCGATGGTGATAAAATTGAAATTATTGTAATAGATGGAAGCTCGATTTATTCTTTTAATGATCGGTCCCTGTGGAGAATGGATCGATGTACGCGAGTGGAAAAATGTTTAAGTTTCGTATTTACGATTCAAAGTTCTTTAAGTTTTGCGTTCTTTCGTTTCGAAAGATGTGATTCAAATAAAAAAGTTAACTTAACTTTGAATTAATTTATGTTCATCAAAAATTATCAACTTCGTTACATTCGTGTATATTTTCTTCCAAAAATTAAATTTCGTAACTTCGAATTGATAAAAATCATTTATTTTTGAATTGAAAAAAGTGTGTAGATGTTTGATAAAACAGTAATCGTAAGCCTAGAATCGGACAAATGGGAAACACGTGAGAAAATTTCATATTCAAATCCACATCCTCTTTGTTTCTTCGAAATACCAAAGTGGTTATCTCCATTCATCTTGGCTCCTTCTTGTAGCTTAACTCGTACGACGATCCATTTCTCAATTTTCTTTACTTTCCCATCTCGTGTAATAGTTTCATTCGAAATTAATATTTTCCATGATATAATTTTTTTCATCTAGAAAATTATCTATCCAATAACGACACTGATAAAATCAATTTACAACTTATAACTTAACATCTGCACATTATACCAAATAAAATCATCTACTCATCCACGAAGATCATAAAGCCAGCATTATTCTATTTCTCATTAAACGATCGTAATCTTAAGCGATTGTCCACAACCCTCCACACGCCAGAACCCACCCTACCCACCCCTTCTGAAAAGTGATGAACGTCAGCCGTTATTAAGGTGGAATAAATCGCGTCGCGATGACATCGATAACCCAGCGTTGAAATTATTGCCAACGTGACACCGGTTATCATTTCACAGCGTTTGCAACTCTCTTAAAGATATTACCGGCATCCGTGTCCCCGTGAAATCGCGCAAGTTTCTCTTAATGACGAAAGTGGAGCGAACTCGTATCACGAGTCGATACGAAGGGGAGAATGGCGGCTAATCGTTTCACCGCGAGGGAAAATTCCTTTCGCGCGATAACCACGTGGTCGGAAGAGAGGGGGTGGTTGGCTGCAGGTGTACAGGGGCGAAATCATGCGACTTAAACGAACGACGGAATCAGGAGGCCGAAGAAACCTATGGATCGAAGAGATTACCGATGAGGGTAGATACTTGGGCGAGATTGAGAGGGTGGTTCACCCTCCCTCGAGCTTGGAGGCTATCCGCGGACAAGCCCAAATCGCGCTACCCGTCAGACTACTACGAACCTTCAAACTTACATCAACGAAATGAAAGAGCCCACCCTTCCGTTCTCTTCCTCTCTCTCTCTCTCTTTCTGTTTCCGCGTTTACTCTCTTCCTTCCAACTGCCAAAAGTTGAGATATCCGTGGATTTGCGTCTGGATCGCGCTCGTATTAAGCGAAATTCGCGAACGTTTCGAGAACGTAATGTTTTCACTTGGTTTACGTACAATGGCGATCAAACAACGAGAAGGTTTGAATGGACGTGCGTTATTGCTGTACGTGCATCCATGCGTGCGATACGTTTCGACCTTGCCTTTAGGGATTTTCGTGTACTTCATGATACATGGTGGAGGTTTGGTATTTGTTCAGAGAGGGTGAAGTTGATCTTCCGTTTCTTTCTTCGTTTAATTCGAGATTCGGGAATTTTATGAGTTGGTTTGGATGGAGTTGTCATTTAGGTTTAAATTTTTAATAACTCTTTTTTAATTTAGGGTAATTGGCAGGATATAAAATTGCAAATTTTTCAATATCTTTTTTTTTAAACGACAATACAAGGACAATATGCAATTTTCTATGATATAAAAAGGATAGTATCGATAAATGTTATCAATATCGTTTAGTAATCACGATAAAATTGTATAAAGAAGTTTGTAGAAATAACAAAAATAAATCTAAAGATTTCTATACGTGAACGCGCAGTACAGATCGATTCGTGACAAACTTTCGTTCGAATTCTTTCTCTCTTTCTCTCTCTCTCTCTCTTGCATATTCACATAAACAAATTTACACAGATCTTCGATGCATATGTTCATAACCGGTTTCGCAAATATTTGGCTTTTACCCGGTGGAAGGACAAACTTGAGCCGACCGTGCTTTTTCAAATATTTGAAAGGTCGCGAGCATTTCCCGCCATATCGATTCGGGTTAATTTCTGCGCTACATTTCCTTCACGCGTGTTCAATCCCGGTAAAATATTCGTTGCTACGCGCATTTTACCTCGGTGTGCACCGCGCCGGAAGTGGAAGAAGGGAATATGCTCCAGTTGCACGCGAAAACTTTCTCATCGAGTTTCGATATTTGGCCAAGTTTTTCGAAATACTCCCCTTCCTCTTGTAGTTTTCGAACAGGAACCAGATATTTTGCCCGCGAAGGACGCCTTCGATGGTCCTTCGCGCGAATCGAGCGTAAAATCGTTTAAACGCAGCGTAGATTTTCGAATCTTCTGTGAGAAATATTTAACAGTTTTGGCCTCGAACAAATTTTTGCGGTCGTTGAATTTGACTGTATTATTCATAAGTTATTTTAAATTAACGTGAATATATATATATTTTTTTTGAATTTATCTATCTGTTCGAAATAGAAATTTTGTTTGTACATAGTATTTTATGGTTTGGTATTATGTAAGGGAAGAAGTAGAATTTTCCACGTTATAAACTGTAGACACTTTATTTTATTTTTACATTTTATTTTTCATTATAGAAGCGACATTAAGAAAGATAGGTTGATTGATTAATTAAAAAGTGTACAATTTAATTTAATACAAGTTAATGATCAATTAATGATTATCGAGGATAGTTTATGAAAGGATAAGGAAGATAGGTTATCAAAATTTAGTTTATACAAAAATTATATGAAAATACAGGAATTTAGATAAGATTCGCGATTTTTAAAGATAGGAGAAGAAAGCTCTTCTCAGTTTCACGATTCTTTCGATTGCTCGTAAACAGATACATAAGTCTTATCGTATCTATTAAACCAATCTTAGCTAATGCTTATCGCGCGTATCTATTCTTGCAAAATATTGATATTATTTCGGGACTTCGATATGGATTCCATCGAACTTTTTCATGAATTCAACTATTATATCGTGTACAAATTGGAAAACATTATTTTACGATAAGTAGAAATAATTTCAAAAGAATTATATTTTTTATTTTTATCGATTAACAAAGAATCTTATTGATCTTATCGATTAGTCTTAGGTATTAAAAAAGAACGATTAGAATAACAATTATTATTACAAACTCGTGATGAATTACGATGAAAAATAAGACGCGTAAATTTTCAACTGCGAATTATTTGAAGGAATCACTGACAGGAAATCACAATTTAAAAATATTTTTGACAGAAATTTGTGATAGTTATACGCTCTATTTCACGGAGGACTCTAATTTTTCACCAAAATGAAACGTCATACGAAATGAGCCACGCATCCGTGGCGACTTGCTTTTGATAAAGAACGAGCATTATTACTCTAATAATAATGCATCAATTGTAAATATTCGTCTCGACTTTGTATTTACGCAAAACTCCACGAAATAACCATTAAACCAATCTCAATTCCATTCTTTTTTAATAACGTTCACGAAAACCTCAAAATTTTTCAAATAATCATCGTACACCAATACGTCTCCCTTCATATAAATTTCCAAATACGCATAAATATCCGCAGCGTACTTTCGAATCGCCCCCTCGTCGATGCTCGCGAAATAAGACGCCCCCATTCGGAATACCTGCGGAAACAGCCGAGGGGGGCCGTATTCTTCCCCCCTCTAGAAGATCGGAATTAGCCGCGTGTCTTGGCGCGGGCACGTTGCTCGCACGTTGAGCCGCGAGATTCTACCCTTCTTTCGGTTGCAAAAAGGGGTGCAGGGAGAAAAGAGAGAGAAAGAGAGAGAAAGAGGGATAGGTGGCGAGGACCCCCGGCTAAGAAAAGTCGAAAATCTTAATTCGGGGGCGGTGCCACCCCCACGATGCGATAGGCGGCGACTCGTAAGCGGCGATTGGCTTGCGGCTGGGAAGGGGGTGAGAGATCCGTGTACGGGGGTGGAGGAGATATGCGCCGTGACGCCGGGACGTCGGCGTGTTCACGTCCGCCCGAACCCGGTCCCCTTTGCGCCCGAGTACGACAGTCGACGCCGGCCGTCCCGAGCGTGCAGTCGTGGGAGCTGTCGTCTTCGTCGTCGTCGTAGTTCGACGATCTCGCGCGTGATCGTGTTTTTTTTTTTTTTAAACCGCCGATTTTATTATCTCGATTCGATCGGACGATCGTGTTCGCGTCGTATTTTCCACGATTCGAATAAATAAATCGGAATAAATAAATTGAAGAGGGAGGTGAAGGGAAGAAGGGAGAAAGTTTGGATCGGTTGTTGGATCGATGATAATACGCGTATCGGTTTCGTTGTTGCGCGTGATCTGTGACTGGTATTAGGATGAGGGACGTGATCTTTTATAAAATCTTGACCTAGAGGGGGAATAGAAGTGCGGTCGAAGCACGGTGGAGACGGATCATCGGATCGAATCGTGTGAGTTGGCCGATATTGATGATCCGCGTTTCGATGGAAGGTGGTGGTCCGGAAGGGTCTTCTGGAGAACGTTCCCGGTGGATGCTGATCGACGGTGTGGCCGATAAATCGGTTTTAGATCCGAGCGGGCGTGCGTGCGCGGTGGGGGGGCGACGTTTCTGTGGATCGTTTCGCGAGTGGAAGGACGAGGTTGAGAGTTCGGGGGAGGAGAGGAGGGACTCTGTTGGTGTGTCTGTTCGTTGCGGATGCGGATCTTACGCGAGTCGTGATTGTGACAACGAGTTGGCCAATTTGCAGCCGAGAATGCTGGTGCTTGTTAAAAGGAGCAGGGAAACGGGTTTCAATCTTGCGACGAGGATGGCGGCCGTCTTTGTTATCGCGTGCCTCCTGCTGATGGACACTCGGCCGACGTCTGCTGCCTTTAACAATGGTTAGTCATTTTCGTATTTTTCCTTCCTCCTCAGACTTGTTTGTTTCGCGATTCGTCACTGTGTTGAAATTATGGAAAATCGAATTTAAAATTTTCCTTTCGTTCCTTCAGTTCGAGAAAATTTCGATTAAATGTTAAGTTAAATATAATATTGGACGGTAATATTGGATATTTATTGGATTTGATGATTTCAATACATGGACATTTAGAGTAGTAAACTATCTTAAACTATTTATTCTAATTCTTGAAGAAACAAGATTGTCATTTATTGTCCAATATTCTCGCCTCTTCAATCGAATCTTCACTCCTACGTAGAATCGACTGACACTTCTACCGCGAAAGATTAAAAGTTAAAAAGAAAGATATATACCCAAGACGTTGTCATTTCTTCCAACACAATTTTGCATAATCGTTTGATAATCGTTTCAAGATATGGATATCTCTCGCATCCAGTAATAGTAATTATCGATTATTTCACCGGATGACAAGCAACCTAGATGGCTTATATCATTGCTTCCACAGATCGGTGGTCAATCAATTTACCTATATCGTAAACTTCATCACGATCGACGTATAAACCGTATATTCCCTCCTGCCGAGCTCATACCACCACCCGTGGCTGTTTGAACGACGATTTAAACGCGCGCGGCTCGATCAACGCGTAATCTCGGATTTCATTTTGGCTACGTTAAATCAGGAAACCGACAACGGTGCAAAGTGTTCCCGGAAATTATAGCGTGTCCAAATGAAGCGCGTCAAAGGCGCTTTCGTTCCATGGGGATGGGGAATAAATTTCGCGATATATCGGGATCGATTTTGATAAAAAACGAAGCAGCCAGTTAATAATCTCCTCTCGATGATCGAACTGAAAATTTTGATTTGATTTTGACGAGGGAAAATTGATAATTGATCGAAATTGTAAGTAAGGGTGAAACGAAAAGTTGAAGATGGATTTTATTTATTCTGAATAATTCTTGAGAAGTTAGGAAATTTTTGGTTAGGAAATTTTCCTTTGGATTAAAACGAATGATCGAATGAAAAGAGTTAAAGATTGATCCTTAGGATTCTTGATCATAGTTAGAGTAATATTACAGTTGAGTTATTTCAGTTCAAATAATTGTAGGATTAATCTTTATTTGTTTCTTATCAATTTAAATAAATATTTTTAGTTTTAATTTATTACGATAATAATAAGTTGAATATGAAATTATTACAGTTTTTACCACAGTGAAAGCAACTGAAACATATAATAAGAATTTTGTTTTTATTCCCTGTGAATATTTTATTCATCATTTAATTAAATTTTTCTTTTATTTCATTCACAAATGAATATTTCATTTCAAACAATCGGGAAATTATTAAATTTATTCTCCATCGATATACATACATACACCATACGAAAGCGATAAAAAGGTTATTGTTAAAGCGAGTGCAAAAAAAAAAAATACGATTCAAAATGGTTTATACCACA